AAGGACAAAATTCTTCACGTCATGGGCGTCGTGTTAAATGCAGCCACCAAGACAAGACATTCAATCGATTTTAAAGTTTCTTACCGTTTGTGAATGGATATCTGATACCCTTATTATTCTTACAAATATTGATGAGTTTCGTCAGAGTAACAACAGTCTAGTGCTTCCTAAATTCCGAATACCAGCAGGTGTTATGTTAAAAGTGAGCAAAATATTCTGAAAACTAGTTTCTGCGGCTCGGTGTAGAGGCAACTCAAAGTTCCCATTGAGGCGCTAAATCCTTGAAGGTAACAAAAATTTCATGCATCACAGATTGATTGTGCACAGTGACAACGTAAACTCCATTTTGTACATATCCGTATCAGGATATTTGATATACTTATCTTTTTTCGATAAAGAGCGATTTTATTATCTCAAATGTAGCATCAAGCGGATACAAAGTATTATGAGTAACATCAAGCCTCTACATAATAAGGATGCACACGGCCCAATATGAAGGTCTGATAAAAAACTTACGAAATAAATCCACAAATCGGCAACAGTAGAGCCCTATAGACCGACACTATATGCCTATGTCGATGGAGGTGGTGGATCGATCCGAAGGTTATGTTGCCACCCATGTTGGGAAAAAATCTCCATAGCCACCTGCTCCAATCGCATACGCACCGCCTTGAACAGCGGTTGGTCCTCCGGTCGTTGTAACATAGACCAAATACGTAGAAATTGCGTACACCGAAAAATAACATGTGGAGGAGAAGCATTTTTTTCATTAAAAACAAAATCATTTCTACATAGCCAAAGCGACCAAATTAAGGCATACGCTCCCACCCTTATTAGTGTTTTGAACCTATTTGAAATACCGTCCAACCAATGACCAAAAATATTGGCAACAGTTGTGGGCGGATACAAATTTGACGCTATTTGGATGACTGGCATGTAGAACATGCAAACTTGTATTGGAAAAGGAGGTGTTTGATTGTCTCATCATGAGTACAAAAACGACACTTCTTACTTCCTTGCCAGTTGCGTCCGTGCGAGATTGTCTTTGGTTAATACAACTCCCCTACGAAGATACCACATGAAATTTTTCACTTTTAGTGGAATCTTGGATATACTTATCACTCTAGATTATTGAGGGGCTTCATTAGAGTAAAAGCCTACTTGTGGTTTCTAAATTCCAGATCTTTTGCACATGTGCTTATGAGATCACCACTGTAACGATCACATTCTATTCCCCCTATCAATATAATGATATGCAAATCTTTTGCGTATTTAATGAAAAAAAAACAAAT